TGTACTTGGTGTTTTAAACTTAAAAAATGTTTTGAAATGTGGCTCTTGCAAGCCAAGATGAAACATTACACCTCTTACGCCTTTTCTTTCTTTTACCTTATAGAGTTCCCAAAGCTCAATTCAATCATCTAAGATCATAGACCAATACTTAGAGATCCAAGTTTTCCTTCAAATTATTTCTCAAATAAAACAATCTGTTGTTTTACATCAACCAGCTCTTTGTTTATGTTGGTAGATGTAACCAGAGAGCTTTCTGCTCCTTTTAAACTCTTGCAAGAGATTTAAATTTGTCCATATGTGAAATACTTCAGAACATCTAAGTCAGAAGAATGGAGACGTTTCTTCCCGTATAGGTTCAATGTTAATACTTCTCCCATTTGTGCTTGGATCCTAATATAGGATTTTTAAAAACAGTAACTCTGACTTACAAGGAGGCTTGGGTGAATGGGAAGAAGAGATGATATGGATGCCATGACTACAAATTCTATGGCACTCGTGTCTTCAGAAAAGATCTACTTCGCATTATTTTAGCAAAAATGGCTTAGCGCTAGCCCAAAACCAAATGATCATGAGTTTATTTAAGATGGAACTTACAAGTACATATTTTGAACAGTTTTACAAGAGTTGGGATGGCAAGAAACCTCACTTGTTGTTAAATGAAGCATGAGAATTGATAAAAAGGAATTTTAAAAAGGCTGTGGTGGCTTGCAGCAGCAGAGGTCAACAACCCGAAAGCTTCCTTCTCTCTCTGCATTCAACATGTTTTTAGTACCACAGCTTTATGGTAAACATCTGAAAAAACAGATCCCTTTTTTGTTTGCTTCATAAAAGTACTGCAACTGCTAAAGTTAACTTGTTTATCTACCCCTGAATAAAATCATGTCCCATTTCCACATGGAAAAAGAAATGAAACTTTTGAGAGGAATACTGCATTAGAACTGGTCTTTGGCTCAAGTTTGCATCAGAGATTTTCATTCTCCAGACTTAGAAAACTCTTAAAGGAAGTAGACAATTGTGACTAAACTGAATTTACTGAGCCCTTGCACAACTCAGGAATGAATGGGCAGAAGCAGGAGAAGAGCGAAACCAGTTTCATTGCAGCTGTAGCTGATCTGACCTGGTGCAGTACATTCTTCCTCCTTCCAGTCCAACTCTGAACCTGTTCTCTCCCTTGTGCCACTGCTAGTACTTACTTGACCACACCTCTGTTTTGTTTTTGTCAGCTTCTGCACTTGTCAAGTGCCTTCATACACCACTCTAATTTACCACCATGGCAAAAAAATAACCCAGCAGGAAAAAAAAGATGCAATTACATTTTCTTCTTCTTTAGTGTGTTAAACCAGATCCGGAAAGATTCCATCGAACACCACAGCCTGTATAAGCAAGAAGTGATGGGAGCAGAGAAACTGGGAACAATGCCTTCCTATTTTGGCAGCTGCCTGCTGGTATGTTGTTGTATTAGCAGCCTTGGAACTGCAGCCAGAGAAAATTGAACTACTTTCTTGCTGAAGCTGCTACCTAAATTGGCTCACCATGGGGTCAGACAAGTGTCAGTACCAGCACAAGGCAGGACAGGGAGTGCATGTTGCGGGAGGATGGGGTAGAAGCACAAGACCGAAATAGCCTATGCTGATGTTTAATCACTCATCTAGTTTTATTCCTTAAGGCTAAACAATAAATAACTCTCAGATGCTGGGACTTATGGAAAAATTCCAAAAATTAACAGGATGACCGGGCATGAAGAGTTACTTAGGCTATAATTATCCAGGAGCAAAAATGTAGAAAAAGCAAATTCTAGCCTAAAGACATAGATAAGATGAAGATCAGAGTCAGAAATGAAAACAAAAATTATCATTGGCTCAGAAAGAAATCTCATGGACTGACAAACTATTAGCAAGTCTCAGGGAAACATTTGGTAAGGAGAAAAATCAAAGCATCATCCATAATGCTAGTTCTGAGGCCTCCTGAGAAACACGGGCACTCGCTGTCAGAAACTGTAAGGACCTTCTTAGACACATAATAGAAGCTGCACCTAGGGTAAAAACACTAATTACGATGCAAGAACATTTCTGCCTTTCCACTGCTGTTTACTGGATGGAATCACTCTTGCTCGGAGGTGTCTAAGCTCACCAGCTCACTCAGAAAAACACCACTTACAGGTCTTTACAAGGCAGAACACCACCTCTGCTCGCCCTATGTGTCCAGTGTTGCTCCTCTTGTGACTTACAAGGACACTATGGACCATCAGAACTCATCATTGCCAGCGCTGGCACAGAGTCGCAACCAGCAGAGACATCCCAGCAGCATGTCCTGGAGGACAGGAGCTCCCGACTGCGGCAGCTCTGCAAGGCGGCTGCCACCTCTGCTCACATCAATACAAGGCTTCCATGAAATAAACTCTTCCTGAACGCAGACAAAATTCCCACAAATTAATTTTTTAAAAGACTCAAATTGAAGTTCTGGGATTTGCTGCAGCTGGGTTTACAGCCCAGAAAGCTTTGTTTTCCTCTCAGAAAGCCTATTATAGCATTTCCTGCTTTAAAGGAGCCTTGGGGACTCACTCTTCCAATGGAATCAGTCCAGAAGGCAATCAGAGTATCACTTCATGGCTCTGCTGTAACCCAGACAGTCCTCTTGTCCACTGTTCCGTTTTAAAGAGCTGGGACAATACATATATTTCCACTGCTACTCAGGAGTTTATAGCACATATTCAGTGATGCTTAAAAGAGTTTTATTATTAAGATAAAAAAGCTCAGGTAAATTGAACTATAAAAATATGTGGACAAGACAATAACCGCAGTGCTGAGAATAGTGAATGAAACACATTTTGTCCTGGTTTTGTCTGCCACCTGCACCACAACCATTATAATAACTTGCTGTTGTAGGAAACTCACTTATACTCTATGAGCCTTGCTCACAAATATAACCTGGAAGGTTTTTTTTGCCCATAGTACTTGTCGGATACACAGTGACCTTCTATATTAACAGCAGTAGCTAAGGTGGAATTATTGTGCACAGTCAAGGGACTGACAAAGTGTAAGTATCTTCTAATTTTTGGCAGATACCTAAACTACAACAGCAAGGACAGAAGTGTTGAGATAGTAGGGAGACAATAGGTAAAATGTCAGAACAGAGAGAGACAGATGCAGCCCCACTGGTTGCTCACTAAAACTAAACATCTACTTGAAAAAAAGCTATTTGAATTAGAAGGAAAATTGAGCAGCAGGAGTGAAAATAGGAGATATTCCTACTTGGCAGCTTATGTTCAAGAAAGGAACAAATAAAAACAATGTCAGGAAATGCAAGAGAAAAGGAGAATCTCTTTTGCCTTTGGATACCTTAATACTACCAAAACAACTATCGGTTTTAAAAGCCCTCAGGAGAGTGTGCACAGGGCTTGCTCTAGAATAAAAATGGAAAACTGCCAGCAAAACTCAGCATTTCAGGCTCTTTATCACCACCAGCACACACCTGCTATAATAATAACTTCCCACTTACATAGCATTTTTCACTATCAAATAATTTGACAAGCTTTAAACTAGTAATTTTTTTCCCTTTCAGACAACTTAAGAGACAAGAGTGTCCAGAATGTCCCTGAAAGTCTAGAACTGCAATATAAAGCACTTATATACCATGCCTGTGGGTCACACCTTGAAAAAGCAACAAAGATCCCTGCAGCTCCTTTCAGTGAAGGGCAATGAGTTGCAATATTCACAGCACAGAGCAATCCCTTGCTCCTTTGTACCAAGTATCGGTTTCTCTTCCTACCTGCCCAGTTCATCTTCTGCCTGGTTAAATGGTGCAGCTCCTTTCTCTTTAGCCATAGTATAAAGGTCTCACATTTCGTAAAGTTTCTCCTACAATCTCAGCTCCAAAACATTCTAGATATGAGGAGCACGTCTGCATTGCTGCAGCCTGTAACAACTTTGTAACACACAGGATAAATAACAGCATTTATATTGCTACAACTGGATTTTGGAAGCAATATAGTGACTGGTTGTCCTTCTCTTGGTGTTAATCACTCGATTTTTCAGTCAACTGTATTCTTTGACCTCTGTTTGCCAGTCCCTGTTTCAGCTTCCACTAGCAGTGCATCAGTAACACAGCGGTCTACTGCTGTCCAAAAGAGTAAAAATTTCAATGATAGTGTTGCTGATGAGCTGGAATATTGGTGGGAGAATAGGTTATAGAGGAGGAAAAAAAAAAGAAAGTATTAAAAGAGTAAAGACAAAATTTTGGGAATATGGTGGCTTAAAAACAGGTGAAATCTTAAAATGCAATGAGAAACTGAGGAGGGGACAGAAAAGACAAGAGAAGTTTTAAAATAATGATTTAATGTTGCTTCTGTATTAAGGAAAAATTTTACTTCTCCAGTCCTTTGAATGAGGAAAGGCACAAAATTATTTTTAGTAGAGCTCTTGTTTCTCATTCCATTTCTCTTCTCTTCACAAATGGAGAGGAAAATAAAAAAGCTTCCAATTTTAAAGACACCATGGCACATAATTAATTTTAAGCTGGAACTCAGTCCTAATGGGAAGCCTTTCTTATTTACAATGTTTTATTTATTGGCACATCCATATAGGTAAAGTGTTACAAGTCAAAAGCAATGGGCTGCTTCTCCTATTCTCACCTTACAAAGTGGCAAGGAATTTGAGCAGGGCTGATGTCAAAGATTTTTTTTCCTATGTCAGGAAAAGGCAGAACAGCAAGTTGAAACCCAAAATTAATTTGAGGTGCTTTTTCAATGTACCTAAAATTGAATTACTAGCTTCTAGAGGACCAGTTACTATAATGAGTGCAATTACTTAGCAAGTTTTTGTACTAGTATATTTCTATACTTTAGTGAATACGCTGAAAAGAATCCATTAACTGAGGTTGCTCATAGCAGGAGTGTTCACCAATCAGAAAAAAGACACTCAAGAATGAAATTAAACCTCACAGATTCTGTTCAACATTTTTGTGAATATCTTGCTAACTGGCAAGAAGAATCTTGTGGATTTATATTGTGAAAATAAAAAAATATAATCAAACCTTGAATAAATGTAATTCATGTGAAACAAAAAATGCAGGCAAACATTGGTTAAACAATTTGTTTCCTGTTGTATAGCTCCACATTAATATCATCGAGAATTATGTAAAAGAGAACAATCTTTTACCCTTTATTTAAAACAAACAAAGCAGAAAGCACAGCAAACACCTACCTTTTCTTCTTGATAGATGATGACAAAATGTTGTCCTGAATTGCCTTACATTTTGAAGCCTGTTCAAACTGGTAAATTCCATTTTTATTAACAGTTGTTCTGTTAAACAGGGTGGAGGGGGGGGGGGGGGGGGGGGGCAAGAAAAAGCAACAAACTTTAAAAGGGAGAACATATTCTGTCAATGCTGTCACATTTTCTTTGCTATGACAATAAGATTAATAACCGTTGATTTAGCTGAAAATATTACCAAAGAAATCTTACTGACTTCTATTGTGAAGCTCCTGTAGAAAAGGGAAGTTTGCTGCTAGTGACTATAAAATATTTGATTCTTTAAGTAACCCTATTTCATAGTCTGAATTGTATTTTCTGCTTTACACTGTAATCAGAAATGTAATTAAAAAAAAGAAATTAAATGGGAGGCCTCTTGAACACTATGTTTTGAAGATATTTAAAATATTCACCAGTAAAATATTTAGCAGATGAGATTTCCTGAAGTTGTTGATGAAATGCACTATTCAGAGCTAATATAGTATGTACAGGAAACACCACAGGTGAGGTGGATCTTTCTACTTGGACCTTAACTTACTGACTCAAGCTTAGTACTTCCTCTCTTGTTTATTTTTTATTTACACAGTGAGAATAAGTATTTGTAAAAGGAATGAAGGTAAGTGCCAGACAGTGATCCTTAATTCCTGTTGTCTTATTTTCAGCAAAATCCTGTGTGGTCCTCTTGCTCTGGCAGTCCTAGTAGAAGATCGCGCTGTAAATCAGTAAATGACCAAGATACCAAGGTCTTATTCCATTCACCTCAGTTCACTGTGTATCTAGGTGCATTCTCATACAATCACCCTCTTCTGTCATCAGCCTTCTGCTGTGCATATTGTCATTTATGATGAAGTTTTTTTCCTCCAGCATTTTTATTTTCCTTGCTCCTCACCATCTTCCCCTCTTCCCTGGCCCCATTCCTTTGGGGTTCTTTCCACTGATTTGCTACTTACAGAGCACTTGGACACTGCAATCTATTTGTCCAAACCAGAATGAGAAATATAGAAGACATAGATGCTGTGTCATTCACTCCTGGGTGTGAGCTGCAGCAGTGAACAGACCCCGTGCTGTTCTTAGAAACACAGACCAACCGAGCCATCCCTGTACAGAGGCACTCATACACAGAGAGAAAGGGTCTTCCTGCTTTGTGCACAATGCACTCTGCTTCTGATTCACCATTCCTTTTACTAACAAGGACCAAAACTTCATTGCCTTCACCTGTTAAAACACGGAGACCACTTATCAACAACATTTCTGACAAGCTGATTTTGAAGCTTCTACTTGGGAAAGACATCATTTCAAGTCACAGAATCACAGAGCGGCTGAGGTTGGAAGGCACCTCTGGAGATCGTCTGGTCCAATCCCCTGCTCAGGCAGGGCCACTGACAGCCAGTTACCCAGGACCATGTCCAGACGGCTTTTGAGTATCTCCAAGGATGGAGACACGACAACCTCCCTGGGCAGCCTGTGCCAGTGCTCAGTTACCCTGTCAGTGAAAAAGTGTTTCTTGATGTTCAGGGAGAACCTCCTGTGTTTCAGTTGTGCCCATTGCCTCTGGTCCTGTCACTGGGCACCACTGAGAAGAGCCCGGCGCCATCCTCTTTGCACTCTCCCTTCAGGTGTTGACAAGGTCCCCCATGCCTTCTCTTCTTAAACAACTAAAATCTTAAACAATTCAAATGAGAAGACTGACTGAAGAAGAAAGAATAGAATAAATGCTTGTTTATTTTGCTACTTAAGTGACTGGCATGTTCATAGCTATTACAGGAGGAAAAGGAACAAAGTGCCTTTCCTTCTCTTTCCATTGCCCATGAATTTTCTAGTGAATCAGTCACTCATAGCAGCAATTCACCCAGGACACAGGCTGCAGAGGAGAGAGATCAGCTCTCTCCCTTTCTTTCCACCATCAGGGACTTCTTCGCAGTATACACTTAGTGCCCCTAAGGAAGTACGCAGGCTGCATGCCCCTTGTTGGAGGCCGTGGTAAGACAACACAACGTAAACCTCTGTCCTTTCAGTTCTGCAGTGACTTTAACAGGTAGTCACAGCTGGCACTACCTACTGAGAGCTCCTTGGCTGATTTTGCATACAGCTCCTTATCTAATTCTTTTTTGAAAAGCAACATACAGATGTGAGGACAGAAGTCTCTCAGAGCACACAGTTCAGAGCAAACAACTCAGCAGATCTTACAGAGTAAGTGCCAGGAAATAGTCTGCCTACACCATTTACGCACACAGCTTTACTGCAGCTTGGTCTGAATGGTTCTGTCTACACCAAAGAACCAGGTGGGCCCTTTCACAAAAGAACCCAACACCGGTTGCCAAAGTTAGCACTAAATCACGTTTCCTCTCTCTTGCTTCTTTAACTCAGTAAACTCAAATGATTCTTCTGCAGCTGCAGCGTAAAGTAAGAGAAATGGCTACAAGCAAAGCTTAGCCGCATAAACAGCACCTTAAAAAAAGAACTATTGATATCATAAGCCAAGTGCATGTTACTGATGCACGTAAGTCTTTCATTACAACTAAAAAATCAAGATGCTGGATGCTGATTTGAGAAGTGGCCCCGGCCCTTCTGAGCCACAGCTGGCCAGAGGAGACCTTCTTTAACACATGAAGTCTGCCAGGAAGACCAAGTCAGAGCAGGCGGTTAGGTTTGAGCAGCTTGCGGTGAGGTGCGTTTGCAGGCATCGTTGGAGAACCAACATTCTTTCACAAGTGGGTTTCAACTCTGTGCAGAAAATCATTACAAGGTCCTTACAGCTTTCTGTTAATTTATGTCCTGAGATCAGTGGGGCAGTGAATAAATACTCTCTCAACCAAATACAAGCTTTACCTAACAGACTTTTAGCCTTTTTAAATTCATAGCACTAAGATCAACTGAAGCAAGTTGCTGTGTTTTTTAAAATGTAATTGCTTTTTGTGCACACATTTTCAAGATTTGAAAAATTCAAAAAGGACGAAGTCAGATAAAAAAGAATGAGCAAAATAAACCCCTGTTCTGTTCTGTCATTAAATCCTGACAATCACTTTTACAGCCATGAAGGGGAGAAAAAAGGAATAAGAAGTCTCGCCTTCCCTTTCCATGACATATGTAAAGACTGGCAAAAATGGCAAAACTGTGGGGAAAACCAGACATGAATTTTAATCCAAATTCTTTATCCATATAATGCAGGCACAAGACAGATCACTAAAATGCTCCTTCTGTGGCATTTTCCACAGAAGAAATTTACTTAATGCTCTTTATATGCTGCAAAAAGATACAAAAATAAAACAATTTATTTGCAAGACATGCAAAACAATGACTCATTCTAGTAGAAGTGAAATTTCTGAATTCCTGTTTCACTGTCAGAGTAGCCTCTGCTTCACATGAGTGAAAGATTTTTGCATTCAGATAAAAGGGGTATGCAAGGGGCAGTCCAGACCTCTACTGCATTCTTCATTGCAGAGCTGTGCAGACATCAGACTCAGATTAGATTTCTGATAACTTAGGAAAATTATGCTAGGCAACATTTATCACTACATGAATTTACCTGACCTAGTGGATGACAGTCTTTGTTCAATACTTAGAACTGCACTAAAACTTCTGCAATGAAATCAGATAACTTGCCTAACCATGCAGATATTGGGCTACATTCAACTAATTTTGCCAAATCTCAAGCTAGATGGGAACTTGAAGTGGAAACCATGTCCTGTTCTGTTGGCTTGAACTCATAAAACTGAGGAAACACAGAAATTTCTGCTGCATTTCCTTTAGGGTTTAGATGTTCTCAAAGGTAACCTCACTGGCCAAAATCTGAAAATCAGGTTTGTTTTTTTTTAAATCATATACAAACAGCTTGAGGACCACATACTTCCTATGGTAATTCTAGGAACTCAGAAAGTACACCATCTGTACTTTAATAAATCCACAGTAGATTAAGACCATGTGCCATATTTATCAGCATGTTGTTATTCTATATCTTGCTCTCAGGAAGACAGCAGTTCCTTAAACTGTAAAATTCTTTAAGAGAAGGATTGCACTTACTTTTAGAATAAGAAATAGAGAAAATATATGGAAAGTCCACAGCCCCTTTTGCTGCAGCGGTACCATTCAGTCCTGAGAATATAGTGAGCCTTAGTACAGGGAATCACCAGACAGACATGTACCCGTTAACATGGAGTTTCTGGGGCAGCAGTGGTACAGGGAGGGAAAGAAAAGGGAAGCCCTTTAAAAACAAAACCAAACTCAACCCCAAACAGTTATCAGAGCAGGAAAACAGATGGAGATAAGATGTATGAAAAAAGGATGAATGAGGTGAGGGGAAGCAGATGGAGAAAGGAAATATAGTGCTGTGAATTACAGCATAACATAAAGATATGCACAGGACTGAAAGGTCAATACTCTAGAATTCCCACAAAATCAGCTGGAAACAACTGAAAGAATGTGGGGTGAGATTTTCGAAAGAGCTGAGAACTGGACTGTCTGGCAGCACTGAAAGCAACAAGAATTTCACCCCTAATTTCAGCAAGAGTTAAATCCACACTGAACGTAAGGAAAAATCCCACTCATTGGCTCTATTCACTCTGTGCCCAGCAGAACTAGTTGCTGCACTTTTTCTGTGGCTTCCTGCCCCTGCCTGCCTGAAGCAGCACGGGACCTCTGAACCCTATTCCAGCTGAGCATCTCCAGCTAAAAAGGGTAACTTCTGTATGCAAAACTACACATTTATATCCTTCTACCAAAGTGGCACTGAACAACGCTATCCAGATTGTGAATACCTTCTGTCTTAATCTCTCACTTGGAGAGGCTAATTTGTATTTGAATCTCATAGTCTATTAGTTGAATACTATTAAAAACCTGTAATCCATACTTCTCTAGGAAGGGTGCTCTTAAGTGATCTCTTTGACACTATTTCAAATGAATCAGATGACAAGAATATAGTGACCTTTTTAAGGTTCACCACACCTTCATTAATAAGACAATACACAATTTAAATGCTTGGTGAAATGGCTTTATCAAACCATAGGAGTAAGAATTTGTCTTGTAAGATTAATCACAGTAACTGTGAAAAAGACTGATCCCACTATCCTTGTTCAAATTCCCATGGAGGTTTTGCTTATCTAAGGAATGCTAAATCAGGTCTTTAAGACAAGCGGCATTTTGAAATTATTTGGAAGACTTTTTGGTGCATTCACCAGAATGATACATAACATCAGATACTTTTTATTTCTAAAATCCATAAACCGCATGACAGGTAACATGACAAGCAACATTCAGGGTCTCACGGTGCATAAAGTGAAAAGAATAAGATACTTACACCAAAAAGATGTTACAATAGCACACAATAGACAGAATGACACTTGGACCAAATAAATCACTTGGACCAAATAAACAGAAAGAGGCTGGGAAACCTTTCACCACTGTCAGAACATAAATGTGTCCTGGCAGCAGCTTTCAGCTGAACACCTATTCATTTAGACAGAACTAATACATGAGGCATGTATTAGAAATGCGCTCCTAAAATATGTCTGCATGTATCACTTGTGAATGAAGGGAAAAAATACTAAGAGAGCAGCAAAATTACTGAAGTGGCCACCGATGCTGACTAATCTAAACTGTAGCAAATTATTTGTGCAATATACTAAGCTACTGTTCATAATCGTGGTAATAACCTGTCTCTTCTTCCCCTTCTCCCTGCCAGAATGCAATTATTTTGACAGGAGACAGAACGTACAGGTCTCTGTAGCATAGTTAATTAAGTATAGTTGTTCATTCCCTAGGCCTGCATAAAGATCTGCTGCTGAGAGAGGAATTGGGGAAACCAACACTATGAAACACTGTATTAATACTACCTTGTTTACTCCTAGCTCCTCAATCACTTCCTCCCACGGTTCAATTACCCCAACAGACTCTACACTGTGCTTGCCTTGGACCCGCAAAGACAGAGAGTAAGTTAGGCAAATAGTAAGTGAATGCCTTAAAATCGGTGACACAAACTGAATAACAGAATAGTGGTGGTCCGTTCTTCAGGGTACTGCTGCCTCATTATTACTTGTCTATAAAGTACAGATAAATAGTGCTTGAGAAAACTATTTTCACTTCCCTTGTAGGAGCTGGCATTCTTTATCTGCTATATATTCCTGGGCAGTACAAAAGGAGCTAGAATTTCTGCCCAAGCTTAACATAGCACACCCTGGACCTCATAACAATGAAAAGACTGCCTAGCTCCTCTTATTATTGTCATCTTCCCATGATAAGCACTAGCATTACTGAGCCCTCTATTTTGCTATTAATGCTGTGACTACACAAACAAATATGACAGTACAAACACAGCTGAGAGGGGAGGGAGGACCAAGTGTCTAAAGGTGGGACAAGTGCAAGACTACTACTTTTGGTTGTACGGTTGGGCTAAGCAAGTTTAAGCTGTACTTGCACTTACAGCTTATAAAAACTGAGAGGATGGTATGAGGTCTAGACATGAGGATTTGCCAGAAAACCATAGTATTGCAGTGTAAATGATACAGGTTCCATGAATAAATTTGGGGACTACTAGAGAAATCTTACTAACAATGGCCTTTTTTTTAGTAAGAAAGCCTACTAACAGGCACAGTAGGCTGTGAAATAAACCCAGCACAAAAACTGGAAGTCACACTGTAGAGGCAGTCACATTGTTCGAGTTATCTAACACTTAACAAGAAAAGGTGGTGAGAAATGTTCCGTTAGAGACAAACCGCATCTTCAAGGTTATTTACTAAGACAGATCTTCAGAGAACTTTAGGTGCCACATCACCATCTAATTAAACATTGCTGTGCATAATAGCTGCCTAAACATCTATGACAGTCTGAACCAATCCCCTGCTTTTCATCCTTTCATCCTTCAGTTTCATCCTTTTAAAAGAATTACTCAAAGTAAAAGAAAGAACAGCTTAGCTTTCAATATTGCGAGGCAACAGAATAATAGGGCCTTAAAGACTCTTCAGGAGATTCCTGGTTACAAATATGCCTCCAACAGCAAAGGAAATCATGATAAGAAGAAAGATCAGCTTGAGATTCTGAAGATTGTCTAGATTACTTATACTTACAGTTCAAGAAGGATAGTGCCCATTTTTTTTCTTTTCCTTTCCTGGATTCTCCCACCAAAATTGGTGAGAAAATCTTAGCTTTCCAGAAAAACGCATCAAACTGATGAAGAGATCAGAGTCTAACCTAACATCCATGCACATCCTCTTAATCTTACGCAGGAAGGACATTGCTGTCAGCAACACATCAATGCTATTCAAACCGTCAGGGTAATTTAGCAGCACCATACTTCGGGAAGTCTGCACCAATAGATTGTTCCTAGTTCTTTGCATTGACATACTAACGTAGCCTCATCTGATTCAAAAATTCACTAATCTCTGTACAACCTGTTTCAACAAGGAACTCTTCTGTCCTTTTGCTATACTTATGGATACTGCAGCAAAACCCCACTGCAAACTGGAATCTAATTCCTATTGACCAGACCATCTATCTCCATCACTGAGGGATGGGTCTGAATCTCCTGAATGAGTCCAGATGCTCTCTGGATCAAATCTCTCCAGCATGGCCCTCAGCCAGGCCCAGTCCAGCTGCTGCCTAGATCAAACCCCTCCAGCATGGCTCCCTGCCCAGTCCAGCTGCTCTCTGGATTAAGTAACAGCTCCTGGTCAGTCCAGCAGCTCTCTCTCCTTGCTCATATGCCAAACATGCACCACAAACTCCTGTCAGGCCAGTGTACTGAGCGTAGTCACACAGGTGAGAAAGAACATCCCTCTCTTGATTTCAGCCAGCAAGCCATCCCTCCACAGACACTACAGTTATAGGAGCTAGGGTGAAATGAAACTTTCTTTGATGAATAATTTACTTGTTGCACTTTTGCAGTCACTTAGTCATGAAGAAATACAATTCCAGGTTGACCAAAACTAGCTCCAAATTGATGCCAAAAATCCTCCAAGCAGATTAAGGAAAAACATGTATTTAAAATCTCATGCTCACTTGCCTTTTTATAGAGATTAAAAACTGACCCATACATGCCATGGATTTTCAGCCCTCTTTGGTATATGTTACTTCCACTTTTTTTTGCTCCAGTTGTGAGTGTACTAACAGCAGATGGGAAGTAGCTAGACTCTGTTCTCTGAAGTGCTCTCTGCCAGGATTTCTAGTCAATTTGACTCCATGGTTTAGCACACAGAGCTGAGTAGAAGGAGACTGCAGCTCAGAAACTAGCAGGGAAAAGAAAGAGTATGAGAAGACAGGGCAGGGGGCAACCACAGATATAACACAAATCAGAGTGGAGAGGAGAATGGAGTGACAGCTACAAGAACCAAAGCAGAACACAGTACATACTGCAAAACCAATAAATTGTAAGGAGTGGAAAAGAAGGACGAAAAAGGCAGAAAGGGAAAAAATGAGCACAGGAAAGAGAAGCAGGCTAGAAGCACAGAGCAGCAGTTAGAATTCTACAAATGTTCCTGTTCCTTTTGTTTCACTCTAATTTTGAAAGATGCTATAAATTTACGGCTTGTGAAAGTTCTAAATTTTGAGGCAGGGAGCACAAAGGTCTCTCATCAGAAATGTGTGAGAAACCTACTGTTAGGGTACACTGTAATGGTTACCACAACTAACGTCACTTGCATTCACTTAGGGAAAGCATACGTTGTTTCAACCTCAAATTCAGCTAGATTGAGTAAGATGGAGGCCTGAGTGAGGTTAACTGCATTGTCGCCATTGACTTCAATATAACCAGGACATCACAGTTCGCATTAAAGACCCAATTCCCAAGTTCTTTCTAATTTTTATCATGTATTTTTGACCATAATATATATTAACATCACTGGAACTGCAATGTTAGTGAGGCCATATAAAGTAAAAGAGAATAGCAAAAACATTTGCAAACTACTTCTTACATAGTAATATCTCACGTCTGGATTACACCACCCTCTTCTGCACCGTTAGTTTTCCTACAGTGTGTGAAGACTCAACAGCATGAAAACACAGTCGTTAATATTGAAGCCTGCACGTAAGACACAACTTGTTTCACAGCTAATTTTACCAAATATTTACCAATAACAGGTTGCAAAGAAAAGATCTACACGGATCTAAAAGATCAAGACATAGGATCAAGCAAAAGGGCTCCCACGAAGTAAGATGCGACACAACATGAAAAAGACTTCATATGTCTCGCCTTCATCCTATAGATTTTAAAGGAGAAATATGTATTTTTTAACTAAATACACATTACAAAAATGGTAACAATATTACCCAGCTCCAGCTCCACCTTCCTGGAAAGAACAATAAAAGATACCTGGAACATGCCATTCAGCAAGCACTTTTTGCATCGTACATTAACAGAACAGCTATACGCAACATTTTATTGGGCTCAAAACCAATGGCAGAGTGACAGCCGTCATTAAGAGGGCCTATGAGCAAATAATTTATTACAGTTACAGGGAATCGTCCTCAGTCTAATAAGTCTCTAACGCTCTCTCTGATTAAGCTGCCAAAACAAAAGGGAAGAACGAATTGGAGCGAAGGCAAATTTCTGCTTCTGTAGACCCGTTCACACGGACCCACGCTACCAGTAACCGAAGACGGGTGGCCCGTACCTGTTCTGGGTCTGAGGAAGGGACGTTAGGGGGGACCTGAGGGCTCGCACCACTTTCGGCGTGACAGTAGCTACTCCTGCGTCCTCCTCCCAGCCCCTGGCAAGCAAGACGGGAAAACAAAGTTGTCAAAACCTGTGATTAAACATCACCAGGCGTGAGCGGCGCCGCTCTCCTCCCCACGAACGGTTCACACG